CAACGCTTTGATTTTGAATGGGGCAATTCCTCAAGGTGAGCGTGTCTGTGTCAGCGCTCATCGAATACTCTGAACAACGGAGGACGTCGGGGTGGTGACTTGTCGTCTGGGAAATGGAAGTGGAAGTGACTAGAGGTGGGGGTCATTTTTTTTTCTTCATCCTATAAACAGGGGCACTAAGGTCACTCATCTTCAGTAACAAGAGGGAAAGAGAGCTTTTCCATAAGGTCGTCAACTTGGGCCTGTAAACCAGATAGGACTACTGGATCAATGAAAATATGGGATTCGTCGAGGTCCGACAAAACAAATCGAGAGCCAAGTACGAGATTTTCGGATAAATATGTTAGGAATTGTTTCATAGCCGGGTCACTAGGTAGAATTAGTGAATAGAAGGAACAAACCACTTGACAAGTACGCCTTTTATTACGTTTACCATTTCGTGTAGAAAGCACCACAGGAAGCCCAAACAACCTTGGCAGTTTAAGGTCAAAAAAGTTTACCTACAAATGCTACTGTCGATACTAAAAATGAAAAAGATCACGGTTAAATAAAGATCGATGTATAAACTCTTAGTTAAAACTAACCATCTTTAATCAAAATTTGGTTTAGTCAGCGCAAAACAAAAGTTTATAATCCATTTTTTAAACAACAAATACTTCAATTAAACGTGTCATAATAATAGTTATTTTAGCAATCGACAGAGTTTATGCAGCGGCATAAGACTTCTCACCGAGCAGAAGGCATCGAGTTATGCTTAGTACATCCTTTCTAAAGAGAGCTTTGCCCGAGGGCCAGCCTTCACGTGCAAGAGCCAGACAGAGATCAAAATCACTCGCGGTGTTCACATAAGTAAAGTATTATTGTTCATATAATTTTTGTTTGACATTATCGATGTAGAGCTTCGAAGCCTCCTAGCTGGTACAAGGATCAGCAAGTGCAGCAGAATACATGTATTCTGAAGGCGACAGAACAAATGGACCTGACCATGGTCCGAAGGCCAACCCACTAGTACAAGGCCAGACAAACCCTAAAGTGACCTCCAAACGTCAGGTAGTCACACAAACAATGCATTACTTTCCTCTTCTTTTAAGTGACGTCCTCGGCGCTCTCCTTTGGTGCACATCCCGCACCAGCAATCACAACATAATCGGTACAATATGAAAGCACCTACGAGCCGACCGCGTCAGTCGACAGATAGCATGAGACTGAGGAACCGTACCACAACAGTTTCAACTGGATCTGGAGTTACGTTCGGTCTACAACCAGATTCGATGCTGCCTAAACCTGATT